CACACACACACACACACACACACACACACACAAAAGCTCTAAAACTCAGTACCACAACAACATGCATTAAAAAATAGACTAAATTCTTAAGAAATAATAAGAGGATTAATTTTTTGGTTTCTCTTAGTGTATTGGGATAAAATACTCTTGACAAAAGAAACCACTGTAGGAGGTACCACCGTTGTGGTTGAACGAAGGAGAACTACAGATGTCTGTTAGTATTGTTGTCTATGTCTATGTCGTTATTACAGCTACAATCACCACTACACGATGGTGGCATCACCACCACTACCACCACCAACGCCACCAGAACCATAATAGCTATTATCATTATCATCATCATCATCGTCATCATCAGTGCAGACTGCAGAAAAACAAAACAATTTATTCGTTCAACGTTTCACCGTCTTATGGTTTCGTCAGGAACATTAAAAAAGGCAAAAACTTTGTGGAGACTGTAGAATGCTAATATTCGTAACACTGTAAAAGCTCAAAGTTTCGCCCTGAAGGTTTCTGATACTGTTCTCTTTCATTTATCAAATCCCAACATCAGCCAGTCGCCCAAGCAAACGACGGGTAAAGAACAGCATGAAACTTCAGCAGAAACGACACGGTCAAGTAAAGACAACAGAAAGTATTTTATCATACTTACCATCCAACCAGCCAGCCAATGAATTACATGTATCCAAAACAATCTCACTGATAAGCAACAGCATCGAACTTAAGCACAAACTTTACTACCACAACTGATGACTAAAAGCTACAGCACCGAAATAATCATACAATTTTTCTTAATCAAACTCGATTTCTTTCTCCTCACCAGGTCCAGGTTCCACTTCTCCCATCCTTGACCTCACCAGAGCAGCCACTACTTTGGCCACCTCGTCTTTGTTCTCTTTTCCAGGGGCTGAATTGACTTTTCGGACTCGCCCGCTGTCTGCGACCGATATGAAAAGATCAAAGGGAAAAGAAATCCCGATATAATGAAAGAGTTAAGTGCTCCATTTTTTCAACGTCAATAATATTGGTGTGAAAGTTTGAGAGAATGCAAAGGAGAAAGTATGTAGAATCAAAAGAGTTAGGGTTTTATTAAAGTCACTTAGAGGTATCAGTACAGTCTTTTTGCACGTTCCTAAATGTTTCGTTTTGAACAGAACATTTCAGGCAAATATTTCCACGGAGGGATCCCTGCGACAAAACATATGCACATGTAAATCTTTTTGGTAAACGAAGGCATTATACTAGGCTTTGAAGATAGTTTTGTGATGTTGTCGAAAATCCCTTCACGACTAATTAATGGTAGCCACGGCAGTCTTGAACAGAGGTCAACGGAGTCTCTAAAAAGGATCGTAGAATTATAGGTTTGTAATTTGATGAACTGGTTTGGGGGGGGGGGGGGGGCGAAGGGGTGTGGGGGGGAGGTTTATCTGCAGAGGGAAGGGGGCTATTCCAACCCCAGAAGAAATTGTTTTATTTCGTCACCCCCCCCCCCCCCCCCCCAATTACACACACATATGCACACCAGAATAAAAATGGAATTAAGATCAGTAGAACTAGTCCAACAGCAGCGCTGCAAAAGAAGCAATGCTCCGCTGCCGTGAATTACTACTGTCCTCGCGATAATTTTTGTTCTGTTCAGAATGAAAACGAAATGCATTGAACCTCTAGACTATAATTATTCGATTTTGACTGTTGGCGAAATCGACGGAACTCTTTGATGAAATGGATTGCTTTTTGATCAAATATGTTTTAGCTTCGAGTAAGGGAAGGATCTTCCACAGGCAAAGAAATGTAAATACAAAAAGTGGAAAACTGCATCGCCAGGACGGCATTCCTAATAACTTGAGGAGATGGGTGACGGGAGAAGAACGGGAAAGTGGAGTAGATTAGAGCATCTAGGCAGATCAATAATGGACGAATGTTAATTGAAGATGTCTGTTTCAGAGGGAAGATGAAGATGTGGGTCGTATGATGCAGTGAGGAATTAAAACAACAGCAACAATAATAGCAACAACAACAACAATAAAAACAAGAAGAAGAACAACAACAACAACAACAACAACAACAACAACAACAACAACAACAACAACAACAACACGTGGACGAAGAAAATATACAGGGCAATTTCCTTAAAACGAGAGGCTCAAATTAAGTCCTGCAGTGACCAGTCACTGGCATAAATCAGGACCGGTCACTTCTCTGGGCTGCAGGCCTACAAAATAGAATAGACAAAACATCCGACCCAATCTGTTCATTGTTCAGCGCGGAGCCCCAAGATTTGGAACGCTGGCTGCAGAGATGCCTCGCCACGGAGGTCCGGCGGTGGCATCTCTTTGGGGAGGATTCAGGGAGGTTGGACTGCCTCACCTACTACCCAAGAGAGACGGTGGCCCTGGCGAAGAGCACGCTCTTCGGAGCTCCAAACTTTTCGAACGAATAGGCCACCACACACAACAACAACAACAACAACAATAAAAAAAAAGCAACTTCTACAACGTAAAACGACGTTTTGCAAAGCACATACCTCCAGGTTTTCTGGCTGGCAGGGAGTGCTGTCGAGGTGATGGTTTCCCATTGTAGTTGTCACTGACACCTGTGGGCAGGTACGCCGTGTAGTTGTTCTTGGACACGTTCTGCTGGGCCACGAGTCTGCCATTTTGGCCAGCAGGAGGAAGTGACGTGATTTTGTGATGTCTTGGTTCAGACTGGAAGCGTCGTGGTTCCGGTCTGTCTGCGACCCTGGGGGCAAATAAATAAATGAATAAATAAATAAATAAATAAATAAAAATACGCAAATACATAAATACACAAATGAATCAATCAGATGGTGGTTTTAACATGGATTTGTAGCGTCATCATCAGAAACCGGTGGTTCAAAGCAGACAAGGTTTCTTGAAACATTATTTCAAAAGCTGCAATCGTACGTCGGCACATGCAAACTAAATCATGGGGAGGAGCCAGATGTTAAACAGAGAAAAGCCCTAGTGGGGTTACATTTTGTAAACGTGGGGAACTACTACTATATTTATATTAACTTGTTGAGGACACGCATTCTGGTCATTCGACTACGCTTGAAACTTCATTGTTGTGGGGCATAATTTCAGTATTCAAACAGATTTGCTATAGTTTGTTTGTTTGCCTGTCTGTTGTTTGTTTGTTGGTGGTTGGTTTGATTGTTTGGTTAGTTGGTTGATTGGTTAGCAGGTTGGTTGGTTGGGGTCTTTGGGGGGAGGGGGGTCAAAAACACGAAAAAGCATGTGACAATAAGCATACTATAGAGTATACAAACTCGTCTTTCTAACAATATAATTATTTGTGTCTGATGGTTCAAAATGTGCTGTAATATTGGCTTTGCTCTGTTGCAGCTCAGACATATATGTCTGCTACGCCCTTGAAAAGTGAAGCATGCTACAGGTTCTACAAATGAACGATCCATGACATGCGAAGCTGAGCTGTGATGTGATTTACAGTGGAACCACAAACGTTGTCTGTTTAAAAAAATCACTTCTGTTCATCTGCTGGGACGCAGTGAACTTGTCTTGTATTTCTCTTTCCGTCGTGACAGATAATCCTAAAGCAATATGTATGATACAGCTTTGCAGTGGCGGCTCGTGGTTTATAGAACTGACCGGCGGTCATTCACGTCGACTATTTTTCCCTCCCCCACCCCCTTCCTTCACAACACACACTCACACACACACACACACGCACACACACACACGCACGCACGCACACACGCACGCACACACGCACACACACACACACACACACACACACACACACACACACACACACACACGCACGCACACACATGCTGTCTCTCTCTCTCTCTCTCTCTCTCTCTCTCTCTCTCTCTCTCTCTCTCCTTATTCTATACCCCTACTTTCGCCATCCCCACCCCCTCCATCACTCTCACACACACACACACCACAGTAAACATTGTAATAATGTGAAAGAGCTAAAATATGCGGTAGCGTCAAGAAACAATATTATGAATAATGTAAGATGGAAGTTATTGAGATTAATAGAAACTCGCTTGATCCGCACAGAAAAAGAAACACACTACTTGAGTCTAAGCTAGAAAACAAACAGAACGTGAGAAGCATTAAACCGCTGGTCCTGGTCTCCAGTACAGTACTTTACTCGTACTTTCTACACCCACACACAAAATATCGACGTGCACTGAACCCGTTAATTATATGTAAGTAAGAACTGTCCTGTATGATGACAAAAAGTCAATTGTTACTGTACCAGTGACGCTGTCCCAAGCAGATCAAGTCTACAATCAGATGCTATACAAAGCTGGACAAAGCACACATGTTTCCGATCATTATATCATCAACTGTACTTCATCGCACTTCTCAGTTCTCAGAACTGAACACTGTGTTGTAACAAAGTGGGGAAGTGTGTCAAATGCTAATTATAGAACTTGGTGTCTAGCTGGGGTGAGGGTTGAAAAGGGAAGGGAAGGGAGGGGGTTTTCGGCCCAGACTCTGACAGCCGAGGGTCTATCGCTCCTCGTTAAAATTTTCCTTATATATCTTCACTAGACGATTCCTTCTTTCGCCGGCCAGACTCCTAAGGGCCAGGTAAGTTATTAGAGGGGAGAAAACGATGAGTAAATGCCAAACAGGAACTATAGGTGGTTAAAAAGTCAATAAACAAAAAAGAGTAGTGCCATGCTGACAATAAATGTTCTGATAGTAGTTAGAGAAAGGCTGAATGATAAATACATGTTTTGCTGGTAAAATAATACATGTGTCTGTGCTGCTCAAGACAGTCTCATTCTTAATTTTGTAAGCTACAAAGAGGCCAATCTGGCAATTAAGGGATATTCTAATCTTTCTGTGGACTGACGATGGATTTGTCCACCGCCGTGTGTTTGGCCTCGTACGTAGTACGAAGTTCCGCGACGTGATGGTTTGACGGGAGACGATTTAAAGTTACGAGCCGGCGCGATAACAAACGTGAAGGAATGAGGTTATGTCGCGACAAAACAGCAGTGAATCCCACTTGTCTATTTGAGCGCCTTCAAATCGGCAAGGTGTTTTTGAATGTTGATACATGTTTGTTTGGATTTACTTAAAACTGAATGGAAATCGTCATCAGCAATAAACCTCTAGTCAACAGTTCAGTGGACAAAAATCTGACCGGCACCGCCGGTCTTGTCCAGTTAACAAACCGCCCCTGCAGCTTTGCCTGGGTGGTAGACATAAGGGAGGTAGCTTGCCCAAGTACGACTCTCCTCCTTTTAGTTTTAGAGTTAACATTGACATTAAAGGTAGAAAGAAAGATGGCAGAGTAAAAATGTACAAAGTGTAAAGTATAAAGCTGCAGAGGTGAAGTAATCAATATGATTAGCGTTGTTGTATTGGATTTCTACTGAAGTGTGTGTGCATTCGACGCTGGTGGGATTCTCTTTACATTTCCATCAATGAACGGTGGAATGCTCTTGCGTTCATAGCGAGAACAACTAATATAGTTTCTTCGGCTCGAAATAATGTGAGCAAGGTTGTGAAACAACGCCCTAAGATCTTCTTTTTCGCTCTCCTGATGAAATGGGAATCTCTTAATCCCTCACTCCAACCACCCCCCCCCCCCCCATCCCACCTTCTCTTATAAAAACAGAAACGCTCGAATTCCCCAATTTACGAGACCATGGCAGTAGCAGAATGGGGTAAAAAAAACTTTGTTAGAAACATTTCATGTGGGCTTTTGTCCGAGGAGATCAGCACACATAAGATGTTAAAAAACTGTTGAAGAAGAGACACCACAGGGGGTGAAAAGGGGAAACGCGAGAGAACATAAAGGGATCAAATAAAATTGTGACTGTTTTGATGGACAAAAATGATACAAATTTTGTTAAAGTTTGCATTTTGTCTATTCTAAAAAACAAGAACCCCCCCCCCCCCCCCCCCCAAACCCCCCCAACAAAAAACAACAACATCAAAACAAACAAAACAATAAAAAATAATAACAACAACAACAACAACAACAAAAACAACAACATCAAAACAAACAAAACAATAATAATAACAATAACAACAACAACAACAACAACAGTGAGCTCTTGAACACAGGTTCACGTGGACTATTCCATGGCCCAAACTGTCTCAAAACGTACCCGGAGACTTGTGTGAAATAACAGGCAAACACTGTGGTTTGATAACGCTGGAAAAGTGGTCACTGGGTACTCATCGATGAAGGACGAGCCACACACTTCATCATATTGACTTGTATAGAATCATCAAAAGTTTTATGATAGGAAGAGATGTTATCTTTTTTAATTCATTGAAGTAAGATAGGCACACCCTTGGCAGAGGTTCGTTTGCTGTTCACCAGTTTGATATGGTCAATCTTCGCTCTTCCTTTTTCCTATTCCCAGAAAACATTCTCACACTTTATTTGAACACAGATACCCAGCAGCCGAGTAAGAAATTCGGGAGGTGTTCGTGGCAAAGCTGATAAATCCTTTTCCTTTTCTATTCGTTCTCTATCTTTATCTATCGTTTTGCTTTTCACTATTCTGTGATGATCAGAATCGTGTTTCCTTACTCGTTTCTGAAGCCAGGCTAAGTTTTGGATGGAACATCATCAAATCGCGAGCCTTTTGGAACTACTGCTGGAACCAGACTGCATCATAAAATAATCATTGCGATGCCGACTCTCCTTAATTTATTTATTTATTTATTTTAAAAAAATAATAAATATATATATATATTTTTTTAATATTTTTTTTTTTTTTTAATTTTTTTTTTTTTTTTTTTTTTTTGGGGGGGGGCTTTATCGACGTGAAAAACACTTTGGGTCTTGAAGTACAAAACATTAGTTTAATTGCTTTTCAGACACCTACAACAATAGAAATTTATCTTTGTGGCACGGCGTCTTTGCTTGTTGGATAAATCTATTAATTTTGCTTTTCCAGATTGTTGGCTCTGAAATGTACATTATTCAGAATTGGGGTTAAGCCGTCTGCTTTTAGTTACGAGGTACGATAAAAGCATTTACGGAGCTGTTTGACTTGTTAATCACACCCCATTAGCAAGAAAGCTGCACAAGCCACGACTTTACATGCCATTTATTTTCCTTCCCCTGCATGTCTGCAAATGCCGCATTGATTAGCTCTGTCTTTACTTTTTTTGTTAGTGGGGTTCGTTTTTCTGTTCTCTGAAACGTTTGTCAATCATACAACCTGATCTCGAAGTCTTTTAATGTGTATGTATGTATGAAGGTATGTATGCAAGTATGTGGGTGTGTAGGCATGTATTATGCAGTTAGGTAGGGAGATAGGTAGGCAGGCATGCAGGCGGGTATGTAGGTAGGAAGGTAGGTAGGCAGGCAAGCAGGTGGGCAGGTAGGTTGGTAGGTAGGTAGGCAGGCAGGCAGGTAGGTAGGTAGGTAGGCAGGCAGGTAGGTAGGTAAGTAGGTAGGTAGGTAGTAGGTAGGTAGGTAGTAGGTATTTGAAAGAACATAATCGTTCGACGGTGTAGTTTGGCGCTAACGAACCATCACCATCAAACAGCCCCTTCCTAAGCCAGTAGATACATTGTATCTCACAGAACCTCACAAGCACCAAGCCACTGGTTTCAGAACCCGTGTCTTATCGGGATGAGCGATCGATATAGATTCGATCATCGCACTCGTGAAAACGACCAACGGCGGTCAATATAAAGCACTCAACACAAGGAGAGAATTCACCAGTGCTCAGTGGGAAAATTTATTACATGTTCTTGCATCTA